AAGGCAGGGCCACCTAGAGCAGGTTGCGCAGGAATGCATCCAGATGGGTTTTGAGTGTCTCCAGAGAGAATCAGTAACTTGAGTAATCAGGATGCAGCAGTGAAAATTAAGATGAAAACTTTTATAGGTAGTCTCAAGACCTGTGACTGATTTAGGCTGAAACAGGGGCCTCTGGAGGTCACCTGGTCCAACCTGCCCTGCTGAAAGCTTGGGCAGTGTAAAGTGGAGGTGTAAAATGACAGTGGGCTTAGCTTGGTATCTGCTATAATCTCCCTAGGTAGGTACAGAAAGGAAAGTGATCCCCCAGGTTTTCTCCAGAGTAATAGACCTAAGTGTCTCAGCCTGTCCTTGTTCCTCATGTACTTCAGCCCCCTAATCCCTTGGTGATCTCTCTGCTGAACTTGCTTCAGTTCATCTTTCTTACACTGAGCAGTCTGAAACTGGACACACTTATTTAGCGTGTGAAATGTCACCAGATTTAGACAGAGCACTGTAAGCACTGCAGGGCAAATATTGTTGACTTAATCTTTACTATAGCTTGAGATGGTGCATTTTCAGAAATGCCTGTTTTTAGTCTTTGACTTGTGAGGAACCTGTGAATAACTATTATTATTAATTTTTTTTTACCATATCACTGTTTCCAGAAAGGCTTATTTGCTTTGTCTAACTTGTCTAATTTGTAGCCAGACTTGTTTCCTGCAGCCTCAGATTTAATCAATATATTTCTCACGCTCTAAAACTTCTTTCTATCTAAATTGAACTGGGTAGTCACACATCATTTTAGTTACCCTACTGATGTATTTTGCCTTGTGTGGCATGTTATATTGGCTTACATTGTTTTTCTTGACATCGGGCATCAAGCAAACCATTGTGGTTGTATGATTTTTTGAGTGGAAGAAAAGTAGCTTTATTCTTAAGGTCTGCTTTCAATTTATAAATTGCAGGGATGTGCATTGCACCATATTTCAATGCGTCATAGTTAAAAGTCTGTAAAAGTCATACCAGAATAAATGTTTATGGAAGAAATGGGAAAGTGGGCATTCTCAGGAACAGGGATTAGGGGAACAAAAACGGTGGTGGGGAACAGGGAGGAGACGGTGGGTATATTACTGTCAAGCATTCATCAGTCCTTCACGTAACTAGTGGAAAAAGACACTCTGCCCTTTCAGTATCTTTTACCATATAGCTCGTGACATCCAGCAGGCTGGGCGGTGCTGCCAAAGCAGGAGCTAGCTGCGATGGATCTGTTTTGGTGCAAAGTCGAGGTCATCCATTCAGACCCTTGGCTTCGTTTCAGACTGCTCTTATGGTAATGTTTTTCAGTCCTATCACTTTGATTTTTGCCAAAGACTAGCTTGAGCTAAAGTCCTCTTGGGACCTGCACAACATTATTTTTGGCGACTGCAGCACTTGTGCCGTGGGCTGTTGGCAGGTTGAATCACTTGCTTCGTTTGTAAGATACCATGTAGTGTTTCAGGATGTAAGGACAAATCAGCTTGCAGCCTGAGCTTGTCACAGCTGTCTTGCCTTTCACCTCATGGGAAAAGATTTATCAAGAGTAATTATGTCTAATTGAGCCTCTCTTACTGTCTTGCCAATGTTTCTTTTTTTTCTGTTAATTTGATCAGTGGGCATAGATGAGATAAAAGTGTAAACAGTGCCTCTCTGAATGGCTTCATGCTTCTTGGATTATTTAAATGATTCTTTTAATCTGCTGTGAAATTATGTGGGTTGTCATGTGTAATTTCAGCTTAACTCCAGTTTTCTACCTCTTGGACCGTACTTTATTCCAATGAGGAAGGTTTGTTTATTTTTTTTCCATCTGTATAGGGCAAACTTATTTTTGTAAGGCACCTGCAACTTGTTTTCTGTAGGAACAGGAGTGGGCTTTTGAAATTATAATTTGCTCTTTTAAAACAACTTGTAAAAGTGTGCACTGTCCATGAGAGGCTGGTCTGTGTTAAAACTGCAGCCAAGGCCATTTCTTTAAAACATCGGAGTAGTGCATGTCAGCTTTTTTTAACCTTTGTTTTATGTGGATGCAGGTGAAAATTGACTTCTCCCCACCCTATGCTCACCTGAAGGGTTCACGGTTATAAACTTTTTCAAGTTGGGAACAATTAAATGCATTTCTTATAGAAACTTCACTGTTCAGGAGCTTCTTAAAATGACACTGAAAGTGAAAAGGTTTATCAGCTGAGTATAAGTATAGCTAGTAGTGGTACTTTCTGCTTCTTTTTGATGGATTTTGTTTTTGTTGCTCAAATTCCTAACCTTACTGTCGAAATAATATTTATAGTAGTCATGAGTCAACTAAAACTAGCTAAACTTGTAGCAACCTACTTCTTAGTTTATATATGTAATTCGTGAACATTTCAGGAGAAGACAAGGCTGCATTTTAGGGTTGGATGTCTCTGCCTTAATTTATATGAAATAGAGGTATCTTTTAGGGGAAGCTGTGGAGATGTTTTTGTTTTTGAGTGAAGATCTGCCTGGTGTCTTGGATATCTTGAAATATAAATGGTATTTGTATTTTGAGGATGAGGAATTGGAAGATACAGTTAAGAGGAAGGGACATAAAACTCTCATTACTTCAGACTTGAGTTTTCTTTGAACTGCTGTGTAAGTGGAATTTATTGTAGGACAGACAAAGTGAAGAAAATTTCAGTATGGTAAACCTGAATTAAATTTTCTTTCTTTGCCACTACGTGCATTATTGAACTTTTTTTTTTTTCTGTTAAAACCTGGATATTCTTAGTACCAGAATATTAGAATGGCTAGAAATATTTGACTTGCAGCCTAAGCCAGTCTTTAGTTAGAGAGGGAGGTTTCATATATGTGGGGATTATGCAAAAACTGCTGTCACCCTTTTATTCTAGGACAGTGGTATACCAGACAAACATGTAAGATATGCCTTGGCTGGAATAGGTGCATTAAGTTGGCTCACTTTTTTTGCTAAGAATGTTGAATCTGGAGATCTCACTGTTTGTATTTCTGTTTCAGTATATACCAGATGCAGGTTTATGGAAACTAAACTTGCTTTAAAGCAACTATAGGAAAGGTGAATGTCCTGTTTTTATTTAGTCTCTAGCTTCTCAACTGGCAAATTTGAAGGAAAAATTCTAGCAGATGTAAATGATTTTAGTTTATCTCCACACCCTCAGAAAAAGCCTCAAAAACCATGTAATGCCACCCTCCCTCTCAGAAAGCTGGAAGGAAAGTGGAGAAATTCCTGGTAAAATGCTTTCCTTATCTTGACAATTGTACAGAGTGGTAGTGCTGCTCTTCCTGTGCCCATTTGCTTGTAGAAGGTTCAGTGTGCCTCATTGATGGCATGTACAGTGCTCTTACCATGGAGTGCCTGGAGAGGCATATCCCAGGCTGTGATATGCCTCTTGCCAAAAGTAATGCATCAGCCTGGATTGAGCTGAGTGCTTTCCCTTTACATGATGCATGAAACTGTAAGGGATGCCTGTGTTTACAGTTCTTACGCTTGATCATAAATTTGTGTTCTTAGTTGCTTGTGACTTTATCAGACTGATCAAAAATTGCTCAAGCAAATGGAATTCTTCCAGTGCTGAGGAGCTGAAGGTGCTAGTGGGGCACTAGTATTTTTCTGCAAACGCAATGTAAGGTTCTGTGGGCAGGTAGTCAGCATTGCTGATAGATTTTTATTTAGGCTGATGCTTTTGAGAAGTTGTGTAAGATTGCTTTGGTTGATGAGTTTCATCCTTTCTTGACAATTGTTTCTATTTTCCCTAGTGGGAAAATATATGATACCAAGTACTAGCTTCATTAATCTGTTTTTGTGCATAAAATGGAGGCTGTTTTTGAAAGTTAAATTCCACTTTGCATAATTACATCCCATGCTAAGCAAGTGGATCAAACAGTCATTAACTGAACCATTGACTAGTGGCCACTGGTAGAGGAGAGAAATTAATGGGCAGAAGGGGTCTGCTGCTGTTGAACTCCAGACCCTGTACCAGGTTGCCTTTTGGTTTGTAGCCTTTTCCAAGAAAAAATGCTACTGATTTGGCATACTGCTTTATAGTGTGGCTACTGATCACTGCATCTCCTGAAAGGTACGCCTTAATGCTAGCTTGCAGAAAAGTGGAAGTAAAATCTGACGTTGGCACATGTGCTCCAGGTATAACATTTCCATATTTTTAAATTGAAGCTAATAACAAATGTTATTAATGCTTGCAATTTTTGTATTTTATTGTGATTATGACTGTCAGTTAACTTGCATGTTAGAAGTTTCTTGGCTGTATACATTTGCAGGCACATAAATGTTTCATTTTTAGAATTTGATGATTTGCAGGTTCTGGTCATATATAAAAGGGAAATTGAGTTACAAAACTTGAAGTAAGCCAGTGCATCTAAAGCTACTGCTGTACCACTGCTGGCAGACATTACTAAAGGTCCCATTCAGTATCAGAGGAAGGGGGAGAGAAACCACCCACCACCAAGCACAAAACCATGCGTTATTTCTGCTAACGAACATACGGATCTGGCAAGTTCTCTTGCCATCTTAAGGTATCTGTTCCTGTAGCAGAACCAAGTGGTTTAGGGCTGAGTTACTCCAGTGCTTGTTGCTGTTATTATTATGGGATGTGAATGGGTGATATTTCAGCAGCACGAGTTGAAACTGGTGGCTCAGGTGAAGGGTGATCTTGCCAAAAGGGATTTTTTTTTTTTGTTTTAAACAAATTGCACCAATTGATTCCTTTTGTATAACTGAAGGAATATTGAAGCATATGGTGCATCCATAATTGAACTTGCCATGTACTTTAATTCAGTTTCAGTTCCCTCTGTGGATTGGTCAATTGCTTGTATAGTTCCAGATGTAAAATTTTTCTCGATAAGTCTTTTACAAAAGAACAAGTTTAAAGTACATACTTTGGAGGAAAAAGGGATTTTTATTTTTTTTTAATGTATGTCTGTGTGTGTCATGATGCTGTTTCCGTAAGATCACATCTCGAAATTTTGATGTATTTTAGGTGAAAACCATTCTTTGGACTGGACCAGATAATAACTCTAACAGGAATAAAAATCTGAAGAATTCTGTGAACCTACAGCTCTCTAAAGGAATTGATGAGCGGGGTAAGAATTCACTTATCTTGCATAAACCTTACCCTTGTGGATATTTGGCTACTGTAATACAGAATATGCCACTTCCTGCTACATAAATGGAAAAAACAAAGGCAGTTATGAAGGGTGAAGACAGCAGCCACATTCAGTCTTCCTCTTTGCTAGTATAAGACAAAGTATCATCATTCTGAATACTTAAACCTGAAAATGGTACTGGCAGGCGTGAAGTCTTTTACACAGTACAGATACACGGTGGCAGAATGTAAAGTTTGGTGAGGGAAAGATGAATTGTTTGGTGTCTGTTTACTTCAAAATGTAAGAACAAAGTGAAGTGCTGTGTTGGCTATGAAATTGGGGGAAGTAGAGCATTTTTTTTAAACTGGCTTTAGTATATGGGTGTCATGACTCAAGAACTTAAGGGAGTTGCTCTGGGTTTGGAATACTCTAAAATGCATGCATGTCATTTGAATTTAATATCTGACAATAAAAAAAAGAGCTTTTCAAAGTTTTGCCTGATAATTTTTTTTGGCAAGCAGTAGAAAGCTCACATTGTAAAGAAGCTTGAACAGAAAAAGGCTGACAGCGAAGCTTCTTGTTTCTTCTGAAGATCTATCTGACAGTGTATAGTTAAACTGTACTGGATTTTTCTCTTATCCTCTTGACTTCTTTAGCTTCATAGCTATAGGTGATTCATTGTAACAGCTTCTGACCTTCTGTTCTTGGGAGCTCTATGTTGTTAATGGACCAAAAGCAGAATGGCTTTTTAAAAAATACATTGTGGGAATTTAGAGTGTTCTTGATGGACAGGAAGGATAATCCTGTGGCAGAATTGACTTACTATAGTGACTTTCCACTTTGAAGCTTTTATTTGTACCAAAGAAAATGTAGTTCCTGCAGTGCAGTGCGAACATGGATTTAGCTTAATTTTTCTTTTTAAACATGAAGAATTTCTGTGCTTGACATGATGGAGCAGGGGGAAAGTAATTTGCCTGTGTGCAGGTGGATCTTTTTCCTGTTTCCTAAAACAAGGACAGCTGAGGGAAGAGTAAAGGTCATTTGAATATACTCACTGCTGTTACAGATAAGCTAACAATAATTTAGGTCCTCTTTGCTCCTTGCAGATTAGAAAATTACTGAAAATGTTAATAATGTTTTCCTTAGTGCCTTATTTTGAGGAGTACTTAGATTCTTCAGCACAATGAGTTCAGTTATTCTTCCCTAAATTGTTTATACTTCGTCTTTAATTGCAGTTTGGGCCATTTTTGATAGAAGGTTATTTTGTGAATTTATAAGCTTCTTAGGGAATCACTACTTAAGATGAACTATATGGAGTTACCCCTTGTTAATCTATTGCATACCAAACGGCCCTCTTTTCTGAATGTTAGCCAGTCTCCAAAGGAGCAATGCATGGTTAAAATAGAATATAGTTGTGTTGGGGCTTTTGTTTGTTTCTCTTGTTTGGTTGTTGGTTTTGTTTTGCTTAACCTCGTATAAGCACCTAAGACTGAAATGTGTTAAAGTGCTGGTTTTGGAAGCTGAGATTTCATTCACTTTCCTCTGTAGTTTTGATGTTGACAAATGTGTCTCCCAAATCTGACAGCCTAGGAAGGGGACTTGCAACTTAATGTAATATGATGAGCTAGGGTGATGTGTGTGTCAGATCTGTACCTGAAACTGCATTATGACTGGCCTTTTTTACTGCTAGATTTTGCTTCTAGGCCTCCCTCCCGGGTATGTCACTGCTGTACAAGTCATTGAGTTTGTCCTCTGCCTCATACATGCTTGCACAATTCAGAAGGCAGGAGAGAGGCAAGAAGCTGCAGCAGAAGATTTGCTCATCAAACCACATCCTAAAAATAATGTGGTGATTTTAGGTGTCTCTGGGTTGCCTTCTCTGAAGACCAGCAAAGCTAGTAAATGTTTTTAATGAGCAGCATACAGAACTGCAAAAGGAAATCGCTTATCTGAAAATCTGAAAGTTGGTATAACTTTTATTTGTCAAACAAAAACCATAGGTTATAAAAAATGCAACCTCGGGGGTATAGTGCAGCTGTTGTCTCATTCTGAGAGAATTCACAGCCACAATTTTTCTGTAATTCTCTTGGTTTTATATCCTTCTGCAGTGAGAATGTTAATTGAGGCTGCTGTGGGTCATTTTGGACACTAGAAACTGGGATAAGACAGTCTCTTTCTTCACACAATACACAGCTGTTGGATAAGAATAATCTACTTACTTTTTAAACTGTACTTGAAATCTAAAGGTGACAGAGTCCTTGGTTTTCCCTTCATTTTTTTCCCCTTTTTCACCCTTCACTGGGAGTGCATCACTCCTTTCATTTGTGAGTACAGTTTGGAGGTGGGGGATCAACCCACCTAAACATCATCAGTAATCTGAGGTATTTATGAATTTTCTGCATGTTCCTTAATGAAACTTACTGTTCTGTTTTTTCTTTTGTTCTCCTTCTTCAAATCTGTATTACAACAGCATGGGTGTCACTGCAATCTTTGTGTCAGATTGCTTCTGTGAGTGCATTCCAACAGGTGTGTTGTTTTTGTTTTCCTGGCGTTTATTTTGCAATTTACTAGGAGCATAATGCTTTATATCTGTATTTCAGTCTAGTTCGAACAAGTTTAGCTCAAGTAGTGGTTGAGTTGTGGTTTTGATGGAATGCTTGTTCGGCAGGCTTTGTCTGTAAGTGCTTTGGTGTTTTCAGCACATATTTTGGGGCAGCCATAATGCAGTTGCATAATCTTAAACTATGTGTTTTACAAATAGCAGATGTTCATAAGGATTGAATGCAAGCCTTGAGCAGTTGAAGAATTTGGTGCATGATCATGTCAGCATCTCAGGCTTTATTTAAAAAAACTGTTTTTTTTAATCCATTACATGTGTAGTTCAACCTAATACGAATCTTCTGATGATGCAGTAATGTGTGGGATTTGTTTCAGGTTTTTAGGGGCTCCTTACTGAAGTGTCTTGTTCAGCTTGGGTTGCTAGTCTGTGGTTTCAGGTGACTCATTTGTGATCCTTGTGACATTCCACCCTCTATTCTGCCCCAAATGGTGGCCAGGAAACTTTGTTTTAATAGGGGAGAGTTCTGATCACATTCAGGAAATGCTGAATATTGTAAACACTGAAAAATGAGAGAACCACACTTGTTTTGATGATCTGAGAGTGACTTAGATGCTTATTGTTTGAAACTGTTTTACATGTGGCAGTTTTGGGGCCTGTTAAATCTAAGACTTAAATACTGCTAAAGCTGTACATAACAGCTCTCCTCTCCCCTGTTTTTTAAATTCTTACTATGAGGTTAAAAATGTAAGAAATGCTGTATTGCAAGCAGTTATTTTTAGTTTTCTGCTAGCTTCAGGACTGCCAGTGCTGCAGATGACAGATTTGGGGCGTTATATTAATAAGTGCCTGAGCCTCAATGAATTCACTTCTTGACTCAAACTATAATCCTGACCTTGATGATGTCCTGTGATCACAATTATATATTGTGGAGAAGAAAGTTGCTTTTAAATTTCTTGTTAAATTCTGATTATTGAGATGTCACCAATCCTTGAATACCATAGATGACTTTTTCCTGCTTGTGTTCATGATTTTAGCTGTTGCTTTTTTAGTTCTTCCAAGGCTGTAATTGTCCTTAATTTTTGTTTGTATGAAATCTGATTGTTTGTCACTTTTTCTCTAGTCTCTCTATTATCTTTGAACAATGTGAGTGACAAACAGTAGTCAAGAACAACGATGGTAGATTGTATGTAGCAGTGATTTCTGTTTTGTTTTCCTTTCTAAAGTATCCCAATTCTTTTCACTTGCCTTTTGAAAGTGGAAAGCTGATATTTTCAGTGAATTATCCATAGTGACTTCAGTTGTTTTTTTAACTTCCTGAAGGCTTAACAAATGTGAAGCCTGATAATATGTAGATTCACTTGAGGTTATTTTTTCCCTTCCTTTAAAATTTGTTGGCAGTGGATTTGATTTCACAATCAGCCTGTCACTGTGTAAAGCTTCTGTAGCTATTCACAGAATCTTTCAGACAAGATTCTTCTGACTAATCTGAGAATCTCACACTGTTTAGCTTTGCAAAGCTTATAAAAGTTTCTGTATCTGTCAGTTTGCTTCATGTTGCTGAGCATGGGTCAAAGTGGAGATCCTTGAGAAAGCTGATCATTGCAACATCCTATTCCCTATTTCATTTTATTTTATTTTATTATCCTTTGGTCATAATTTAAAAAAATCTCACTGCTTCTGCCATCTCCCCCTTCATGTTTATTGCTGCGTTATAATTTCCAGCTAATTTGTTATTCTTTCAGCCTTTGAGAACTTGGTTTCTTTAAGACCCTTCAATGAGAGATCTTGCTGTTCTTTTTAACTTCTGTGTATATTCTTGAACTTTTTGGATATATCACATTGAATAGTTTTGGATGCTAAAACCATCTTAAATGGCTGGGCCACTCTTTCTGGAAACCAGGGTGCTTTACTATGTACATTATTGTAACGAAATTATGATGTTTTTCTTTGAACAGGCAAGCAAAGTAAGATGAATATAAAAAGTATCTCTAGCGGAGCCAAAAGGCACACCTTGTAGTTGTGGCAATAGCATGAGATAACTCTGAATGCGTTTTAACCTGTTTCGTTATGCTGCCTCAGTTTCATTATACTGCCCAGGCTGCTGCACAGTAGAACTGGAAATATTTGAAAGACACACGTTCCCTGCCAGTTGTGAGGCAACCACACCCTGGCTTGTTTGCTCTTATGAAGGTGCATTTTTAATACTGTAAACAGTTCCTTGTGGTTGCTGTGTAATAAGCTGATTTAATGAAGTTTTTGAAAGGAGCACATACTGTAAATCATAGCTTTACTTAACAGGTTCTTTTGTTTGAACACTTTGAACTGTTGAATAAAATGTGTGGCTGCAATTAAGTTTAACCATGTATGTAGTACTGTGATACAGCTGAGGCAACTCTTTGTGTCTGTTCCTTGTACTCAGGTGGTGGGGAAGTCTCCC